CCTGGAGTCATGGGATCCCCTTTTGCGACCTTCTATCCATCCATCCACCCCAGGGGTCAGCAACCCATGTATCATGCCCCTGTCAGAGTCTGAATCCGAGGAGGAAGATGAACAGCTGACAGGGAGTGGGTGTGTGGCTCCGTTGGCTGTGGAGGAAATTGGGGAAGGGCAAAGTCCGGTTGGGCAGAGCAGGCAGAGGTAGAACAAGGGAGAGGGAATTTGGAGGATGACCCAGGCCCACCCCCTCTTCATCCTAGGGCACGCAGGGAGGAACAGAGAAGAGAGCAATGTGGGTTGCGTGGGTTACGGAGGAGGAGAGGGCCCTGATTCCCTTCATTAGCCACACCTGGAAATGAAAGTTTATAAGAACTGAATGCTGACTGCGGCAGCTGCTGGGAGCAAACGTGACTTTAACCTATGTTTTTTTTATTAAAACAAGTTTTATTAATTTTTAAAACACACAAATTATCATTATTCATTACATGTTTAAACCTTTTTCCATTGTAAATTTAACAAGTCAGATAAATTATGATTCTGTTTTAAACCATTTCCATATAATATACCAAAACCTCTTATTCAATTTCTCTTTACTTCTCTTTACTCTTATTCAATATCATTATTATTATTTCATCTGATTCTTTCTGACTTAGTTACCATTATTCTCATTCTATATTTCTACAAGTTTTTACCAATTCTCCCCCCAAAAAAGACATATACACACAACACACAAAACATAAAAAAAAATCTTTTTGGAAAGTAACTTGGACCCAGGTGTCTCTCTCTTCATGGACTTCAATTATATTCATGCTCATCTTACATATCATTACTTATTTTATTTACCATTCTAAACCTTCTATATTAACTTCTCCACATATTTCACACTTCTTAATTCTACCTTAATTAATCATCTTAGTTTAAATCATTATATTTGTATCTTTTGTCCATTTTTTATCATCCCTTTGTCTCATCCCTTATGAAAAAAAAGAAAATCAGTTTCTCCTGAAATCATTAATCAGAGTATGATGCCTTTCTATCTCCCCCCTAAGTTAATCAAATTAATCTTTAAAATAATATCTAATACCCAATCAGATTTTGCTTGGTACATTCTATCTAACTAATACATCCAACACAATTAAGTGCATAATTAGACAATAAATCCAAATATTAAAGAGAAAATACTATAATAAAAATTTTATAATAACATCAATACCATAATTTTATTAAACTCTTTAATTAAAACAATATTCTAAACCTCTCCTATTATTAAGTTTTAAAACCAATCATTTTTAAACATTTTAACATTTTAATCTCTTATCAACTCTTAAACCATTGCAATACTACCATCTCATCTTATGTACCTTGCAAAATCTTTTTTTAAAAAAAAAAAATTATACTTTATCCATTATCCATAAAAAATTCCTTTTTTCCATTTAATTTCAAAACATTGTAGCTTTTCTCCACCTTTTCCCTTTCTTTCTTTTCCCAACAAACCTTTCTACCCCCCCTTCTTCTAGCCTCTGCCTTACCGGCTTCCCTTCTCTGTCGTATTTCTTTTCCCCTTTGTTTACAATCATCATATTGGTTTTGCACTTTATTTTTCCCTTTCTTAAATGTTTTTTTAGATCTTAAGTCCTTAAATCCTTTAGTTTTCTTCTTTTCTTTTCTTTTCTTTCTCTCTTCCTTTTTTCTGGATCAAATTCTGAGATTCATTAAAGATGGCTCCTTCCTTTCTTTCTTGTTCCTCTGCTGTCTTCATCTGTTGTAATTTTTGTTGATAATTAGTAAGCGCCATTTCTAAGAAAAGGAAAGCTTCTTCCACACCATTTCTTAGTTCCTCAACAGAAAGAGCCATTATAAATCTTTTCTTTTCTTTTCTCCTTCTTTCTTCTTACAACAACCAGAATATTCAAAAGAAAATAAAAAAAATAAAACAGTCCCAAAGTTATCAATCAGTCCAAACCAAGGCAGAGTTCTCACTTTCTCCTTCTGGGGTAATATCAATCAAAGAGAAAGAAAGTCCAAATCTGTTTAAAATCTTATTACAATATATTCTAGTCTTCAAATCCTTAAGGCATCTGCTCCAACAAATCTTAGCATACAAATATTTTCTTTTTAATCCTCTCTCTTCCCACTCATCGCTTAAAACCAATTTCCACCTAAAAAAATAGGTTTCTTAATATCCAGTTATTTATTCCATAGGAAAAGAGGGAAAGCTATCCTTTCAGCACCTTCAAGCAGCCGCTTTTTTCCTCTTCTGGCAGGTATTATTCAGAAAGTCATACTTTTCAGGAATTTCATTAAATATGTCTTAGAGTCCTAGGAGCCAAGAAAAACTTTCTCCTCTCAATCACTTTCTCCACTTCCTCCTGCGCATTCTTACCCGGCTGCCAGCTTCTTTGTGGCGGCCATTACGGACCGCCGCTGCACCGTCCTGGGAAAAGGGGGTTCTGCCGGCCAGGGAGGGGGTCTGCAACACCCCCAGTCCCTTCTCCGGATCCCCCCTACCTTCAGCTGCCCCTGCAGGGCAGCCTAGCTCCGTACCCGTGTGGGTCGGAGCCCCAAAAACGGCTAGCGCGGCAGGGATCGCGCAGCTTCGCAAATCCCTGCCGCTCGCGAAGCCGACAAACCGGAAGTTTCGACTTTAACCTATGTTGTCGTTGCTTATCTGTATTCCTGGCACCTTCCCAACAGCGTGAGTTTTGCCATGCCTTCACATCTGGAATTCTTGCTCCTGCCCTGCCAAACTAATTACTTCAGCTTGGCTTGTTTGGACTTTAAGTTACAGTTTGTGTTTACCTTGTTTTGGACTTAATTCTCTGCAGTCAAAGGCTGTTCCTGGGAGAGTTTTTCTCCAGCCAGAAGGTAACCTGGACATTGGGGGCAAAGTTGGAGCTAATAAAGGGACTCTTATTGATTGTCTGACTGTGTTGCCTTTGTGCCACGCCCCTTTGGGTCATCACACCGCGGTTCTGGAGCCGCATGTGGCTCTTTCATCCCTCTGCTGCGGCTTCGCCACTCAGCTCCTCCAGTCAGCTCCACAATTTATGGGGCTTTCGGTTAGGACAGGTAGAAGAATTGGACGCCGCTCTAGGAGGAGACTCTATGGTGGGGGGAACCGGACTTCCAGTCAGCAGAGGAAAAAGGACACTGTGCTAGGAGGAGACTCTATGGTGGGGGAACCGGACTTCTGATTGGATCCAGAATTGAACAGGGGGCTTCCAGTTAAGACCTTTGTGGCTCTTTGGGTGTTTAAGGTTGCCATCCACCCAATCATTTGTTTATTTTTACATCCCTTTAACTGTCCATCTGCCTCAGAGAGGGGCTGCTTCAAATATCCTCTTTGGCTTCCCGTAAGGGCTCAAAACTCCACTTTTCTGAATGTAAGCAGAGCATTCAAGAACATTCACTTTTAGCGAAGACCCCTGGCTCACTTTAGCCCTTATTTCTTATTTAATATTTTTTTTAAAAAAAATAAATAAGTTATAAAGTATTATAAAATTCAAAATGCAAAAGTAAATAAAAGAGCAGGGAAAGGAAGGAAGGGAAAGGGGAAAGAGAGGGGGAGGAAAGGTAGGGAAAAGAAAAATAAGCATTGACTTCCAACTCTCTGTGTTGCAGTAGAATAAGGCATTAGCATCAAATCACAGCTTGTTTTTCCATAATAATATGAACAAGAATCCATCGGTAAAACCCAAAGTCAGAGTTTCATTCTTTTCCACATCAAGCACAAAATTCAGAAGCGGTTTCCATGTGGAAAAACAAAAGTACTTGTGTTCTTTTTTCCCCCCTTTAATCGGAGTAGTCAGTTTTGCCATTTCTGCCAACTCCCATCAACTTCTGCAACCATTCTTCCGTGGTAGGTATCGAAGTGTCTTTCCATTTTTGCGCATACAATAGTCTTGCTGCTCTCAAACATACACTTCAGCCCTTTCTCTCTAGCAAAAGCCTCTCTTGCAGATCATTTGCCTTAATCAAAGGGGCTTCGGTCCTTTCTGTGGGCTGGAAGACACACTTGGCCATGCTACAGAAATCACTCTTGCACTCCCAGCTTTTAAACAAGCTCCCTGAATCACTACTAGCTGTAAATTTAATTTTCTCCATTGTGCAGATTAATTAGAATATTGATTCCCCCCCCCCTCCCAAATTGAATTTTGTCCTCAGTAAGCATTTCTGCTGGTTTTCTTGACTTCTTGGCAAATCCAGTTTTGGTCATCACCACACTATAAAAAAGATGTTGAGACTCTAGAAAAAGTGCAGAGAAGAACAACCAAGATGATTAGGGGACTGGAGACTAAAACACGTGAAGAACGGTTGTAGGAACTGGGCATGGCTAGTCTAGTGAAGAGAGGGACCAGGGGAGACAGGATAGCAGCCTTCCAATATTTGAGGGGTTGCCACAGAGAGGAAGGATTCAAGCTATTTTCCAAAGCACCCAAAGGCCAGACAAGGAATAATGGGTGGAAACTGAACAAGGAGAGATTCAACCTGGTAATAAGGAGGGATTTTCTGACAGTGAGAGCAATCAACCAATGGAGCAGAAGTTTGCCTTCGGAAGTTGTGAGAGCTTCATCACTGGAGGCTTTCAAGAAGAGATTGGATTGCCATTTGTCAGAAGTGGTGTAGGGTCTCCTGCTTGGATTGGGGAGGGGGTTGGACTAGATGACCTACAAGGTCCCTTCCAACTCTGTTAATCTGTTAAAATGTTCCAAGAACACCTGAGGATTATAGAGTAACTTATAGGGTAAAAGTTCCAATCCTAATTGAGGTTGTAAATGGAGTAGCTGTAGGACTGCCTCTTTCCATGTCTCCCAAAAAATGGTTCCCAAACTTTTTGGCTTCTTGTGAGGGAGTCTCCCCTACCTTGAAGTGGCTGCAGATAAGAGGCATTTTCAGGAGTGGCATGTTTAACGTAAATTATTATCATTACCTTTCTTTTGTATTCCAGCATTAACAAAACACAAGGAAGCAAAATCCAAAGAATGAGATGATTTTTTTTATTATTAAGATAATCCCAGAGCTGGAAAATGAAACATCCTAAATTACATTGTGACATTCCTCACCCTCCCAATTCATTCCCATCCCGTCTTTTAACCCACCCGCCCCAAGGAAGAAAAGAAAAAACTCTAGGAAAAAAAATCTTTACAAATTTACATATTTTTTTTTTACAATACAAAAAAACTAAATAGTTCATTGCATATAAATATTACATTTGGTCTGCCATTCTCAAGTGGCATTAAAAATCCCTGAAGCATTTATCATTTTAAAGGGACCTGAGATAGTGGATGCAAAGGTATGAACTTTAGGAACTAACCCCTGAAATCAAGACAAAAAAAAAAAAAAGCAAAATAGAATCAGTTTAAATCATGTGCACCTTCTATTTTTTTTTTTTTTTTTGAGGGGCAGGGGAAAAGATTAGGGGATTGGCAAAAATATTTCACAAAGTCAAGAACACAACACACATGCGGGAGATCTTTCGGAAAGCACTATTTTCCATACAACTCAAAAGTCAACTGCAGAAAACCGGTATTTCTAAACCGGAAGTCCCCAAACTTGGCAACTTTAAGTCTTGTGGACTTCAACTCCCAGAATTCCTCAGACAGCATAGCTGGGTTGAAGTCCACAAGTCTTAAAGTTGCCAAGTTTGGGGACCCCTGTTCTAAGCAAAGTGATGCTTTAATTTAATTCCGTGATGCTTTAATTTTAAAAAAGAAAAAAAGGGGAGAGCGACCAGCATGAGATTAAAACAAAATATAGACTGAAGGATGGAAATAAGCTTAATACCACTTCATTAAAATTCAGTACCATCATGTCTCAATACTTAAAACCACCGTTGGGAAGCACCCCAAGCGGGGTCCGTAACAACTCGCCATGGCCAACACGAATACTTAAGAAATAGTGGAATAGAATCATTAAAGAAAGGATGCCAAAAGGAAGGACAAAATGAAACGCAAATGACAAAAATGAAAACGATTTTTTAAAATTATTTTAAAGAATTAAATGGAATTGTTGAATTCTTCTGTGGCGAGTTACCTTATGGCGGGTTAGCCCTGGCAAGTTGTCCCATTCTTCCCCAAATGCTCTTAATCCTACTCTGACATAGCATCCTTCATACGCGAGGAGGGAAAACTCAAGAGAGCAGGAACCATTATTCAACCAAGGTTGAGATCTGCTAATCATACTAACTATACTGTTCAAGTTGGAATACTTGGATTGAAATGGTTTGTTTTTTTTAAAAAAAGAAAGAAATCGACTTAAAGAGGCGGTGTGCAGGATTATTACCATTTCCAGTTTCTTTGTTTTAAATGCTCGACTTGAGTAACAAAAGACACACATCCATGTGTCATTGTGTACACACATATTTTTAAAGCACCATATTCTACAACTGTGAAGAAGTTAAGGCGGTTAGCAGTTCTATTGAAAAACGAAGCCGCTCAGGCGTGTTCCTTTGAGATCAAGAGAGTGAGTGCTTTTGGTTCATTTTAAAAAAGGCTGGCGAGAGAATTGACCAATATGATTGCAATAATATTTCTTGGCAATCCATTAATACATGGATGGCATTGCTGCAGGCCGGCATTCAGTATTCAAAGCTATATATATATATATCTATATATATACGTATGTATGTCTCTGCGTTTGTCTGTTCTTTGTGTTTCAACGTTCTCAAGAAATCTAATTGCCCAAAAAAAAAATCTGGATTTATATATTACAACTTTTTTTAAAAAATAATATAAACATTTGATCTAGCCAGAGTTGGGGGGAAATGATCTCTTGCAAATGCACAGTCATTTATAATACATATTTTAAAAATAACATCATGAGTCCTCTTTAGGAGTCTTCGACTATTTGATCACCTTTGGGTGTCAAACGGAGCTTTTTATCTATAAATATTAACACTTTTTTTTTTTACTTGAAAGAAAACATTCTCATGACATTTTATACCATAACTTATGAAGCCAACGCACAAATCTTTAAAAAGCATTTAGCATTATAATATACACTCAAGCAAAAGCAGTCCTCTATAAGTTGCTGATGCACTTAGCCTAAGACTAATTCATTCTTTAATTCATTCTTTTGTTCCAATATGTTATCAGCTGCGCTAAGATAAATTATTCAAGTTAATCTCTATTTTTCTGAATTCCCCCCCCCCCCCAAAAAAAGGAACCAAAACACAGACATAAAAATTAAATCCCCATTAGTTTTGCATGATTTGGATTGTTAAGAAATGTCTTGGAACTAGTTTCTAAAGAGCAAAGGCAAGATTTTATAGGTAATCATATTCTTCCCTATATAAAATTATTAGAGCACATGAGTTGGCTGCTATTTAAGGATTTAGGACTACACAGGCATAAGGCGGAACTATCTTATTCTACTTGGGCAAGAAGGCTCAAACAGCATCTAGAAATTAATAACCACTTCAAAAGATTAAGTCTCCACTCTTAATTCTTAGGGTCTGGTTGCTAAACATTCATTTATTTTTCTATAGGGATTCTGGCCTTTGTGGAGAAGATAATGCTTATTAGATGGTGGGGCTTGTGAGTTTGTGATGTGGCCAATCCTTATTATTAATTCCCCCCCGTGCTTCACTAGAAACTAGTGAAGACCTTAATAGATTGGATTACCCATTTCTAAGATGCTCGCCCAACTTCACAACTTCAAGGAAGCATTATGCACATCAGAAGCATCTGTTATTGCTCTTGACAGTAGCACAAGATTTCATGTAAAACACACACACACACACACACACACACACACACTCATTCATTCATTCATTCATGGTGGTTTTTTGTTTTTTTCTCAGGACACTAATCACCATTCTCCCTCATGAAAATAACTTCTAAAATGCACATGCCGAGTTGCAGTTCAGGGCCTCAAATGTTAGAAAATGACATACATCAAGTAAAATACCCTTTGTATGACAGGCAAATAACATCAAAATGGATGATTCCCTTGTAAACGAGAAGATGAAAGCCCCCGGTCTCCACTTACACAGAATTGCTTAAATCTACTTTGGCCAAATATTTACTGGCTACTTAATGCAAGCAGGCACAATTCCCAAAGCAAGCTTTCATTTTGGATCGGGAGTGATCAACCTGGGCAATTTTAAAACTTGTGGACTCACCAGCTAGCCATGCTGGCTATAGGGAATTCTGGACACTGAAGTTCATGAGCCTTAAAGATGCCAAGGTTGAATATCCCTGCTTTTGATTGATGTTGTTGAACATCATATGGTATCATCATTACTAAATTATTAGTATCTAATGGACAAATTGGAGTTACTGGAAATGTCTCTTATTAAGTAATTAATTAATTAATTATTAAAGAGCAAGGATACACAGCTTGAGGTCAAAAGACAGCAGAGAATGGAACAAAGCTAGAATGACCTCTTATAATAAAAATTTGAGGAATATCAATTATAGCCTATAAAATAGAAATTACTAGATCATCAAAGATCTTAAGAAAAGACAGCAACAGAGATGAAAGCAAGAGGTAAAATCCAAGCAAGAACTACAGTTTCGAATTAATCGTTGTTTGGAATGCCTTGTTTGATTCAACTTTTCTGGCTTTGAATCTCCCCTGAGTAATCAGAAGAAATAGCAAGAGAAATAACTCACTGAACGTTCCCTGCTAAAATAGTTACTACTACCTTTCTTCCTGACATGGTTACTTGCAGACATGGAGTAAATTAAAATAGTCGTCTTTGCCCCTTCATTATGTTGGGTATGCAAACCAACTCTACCTAGAAATCCATCCAGTGGCCATATTGGGCTAGTCAGAACTTGGACAAATAAAACGTGCTACATTGTCCATTTATTTCTCCATCCCATTCCTATATCTACTACAGAACCCCAGGTTTCTGTCCGAAAAACAAGAACTTTCTCAAGATGTGCCTTCTTTAGCCCAAGAGCCTATGAATAGGGGAAAATAAGGGTTTTTCTTTCCACATGCCAAGTCCTTTCTCGGTCATGGACACTCCACCTGGATAATTCTCTGGATTCAATTGCAAAAAGGGGCATAGAAGTGAGAACAATGAGCCTGTCAACAACTCTTTTACAGCAGGAATGCCTCGGTCATGGGTAACTGCAGAAGATGTTTATGTCTTATCAAGAAAAAGATGTGGCTGCTTTAAAGAGTTGTCAACAAGGGTTATGTTCGTCTTTTTAGCTGCTCCAAAATAGCTTTTCCAAATTATTTCCAGAGCACTGCATTGTCCTAATTAACACAGATCCAATTAAATACTTAGTTCCCAATAAAGTACTCCTTTTTACTGCCACCTACAACCTTCAAGGAGCTACATCTAAACCAAAGGTCTCCCAAACTTGGCAACTTTAAGACTTGTGGACTTCAACACCCAGAATTCCTCAGCCAGCGTAGCTTACTCTCTTGTAATCCCTTTCTCTGCACTCTCTCCTCTTTGGAGGGGGTAGGAGAAAAAGAAACAGAACATGACTGGCTGAGGAATTCTGGGAGTTGAAGTCCACAAGTCTTAACGTTGCCAAGTTTGGGGACTCCTGATCTAAACAAAGTCTTGCCTAAATCTATACCTGTGTTTTATGGAGGAATTAAACCAGTTTCTCCTATCACAGAAAAATGCAGCCTATTCAATGCCAGTACGATTCGTTAAGAATTTGAACGACGAACATAAATTATCTACTGTTAGATACAGCTTTAGTTATTTGGAGTAAATTGCCCTGTGGTAATGATAAGACTACGGGATTATGTCTGCTTGATATAGTCATAATGTCCTCAAGAAAAAAAGATTAGAGATTCCTTTGAAATATACACACTTGCCCTCTACGTAAGAAAACAAATTCTGAGTTATTCTCATGTAGAAGGGTGTCCTTGGGATAAAGAATATCCCTCAATTTGAATAAATGGAGCAGATACACATTAGCAGAAGATCAAATACTTCCAAACTGATGGAACTGCAGCAGCTGTTCAATTAAAATGGGCTCTAAGATGGTTCTCTATATTTTGTTTACCGGTCACTTTTTAAAATTGTAATACAATTTGGCAAGTGCCTTCCCTGTTGTCTAAAACGCAGCATGGATTTGTGTAGGTGTGAGGTCTGTCCGTGCTTCAGTGTGGTTTTAAATAAACGCTTCGGCCCTTACAGGAACACGAAACCTGTCTACTAATACCTAAAGCAGCCACGGACATTTGTGAAGCTTCCAAGGTACTTTAAGGAGTCCGTTTATTAAAGCATCTCTAAAAATCCAAGCCTCTTCCTTCAGGGTCATTTTAGGAAGAGTAAGGAACGATACTACGCTCACACAAGTTCCAATGCACTTTCTCCAAACTGATTTCGAATCACCCCAAACCCAAGTATTGAAGTCTATATTGCATTATGGAAGATCTACGCTGCATCTGTGTACAGACTTTTTATTACATTATTATAGATCCTACTGTTATTTAGCGAAGATCAACCAACACTAATGGTTGGTGCTAGGCCAACCTCTCCCCTACCACCAAGAAAACACCTGATCACAAAACTAGAAGAAAATACCTCTCTCTCCTCCTATAGAAGGATTGCTATTGGGAATTCGATATGTGCACCTTGTCCATCTCAGAAAAAAAAACACAAATATATTTTAGGAACATTTAACACGCTATAGAGGTAAGTGAAATGAAACTTCTCTCTCTCTCTCTCACTGGGTGACATAAATTGAATATACTTTTAAATGCAAATGCAAGACTCTTTTTGTTTAGAATGAAATAGCATGTAATTATTTTCACTCCAAAAATCCCCCCCGAGCCAAAATTAATATTAGACATTCCATTATTTGTTGAGGGGGGGGGGGGGGGGGAATGACAGTATGCCCAACGGAAGGAAAAGCGATTCAATCAGCACCTTCACTGAAGCAAATAAGAGAAACTAGAGGTCTGTGTTATATATCTCTAGGTAAGGATGCCTAAATTCTTTTTCTGGAAGCATCATTGTCTTTCATGACTTCAAAGACTAAAAGAAAAGCGAAAGAAAGAAAGAAAGAAAGAAAGAAAGAAAGAAAGAAAG